TATATAAATGATTCCTGTAAATAAAAACAGAAAGGATAAACAATCCAAGAGAGAAACTGGCAAAGGATACGAAAAGGAAGTTCACCAAAGTGGAAACACAAGTGGCCAGTGAACACAGAAAATATCTGAAACTAATAATAATTAGAAAAATGGAAATTACTCTAACTAAATACCATTCTCACCTATCAGATTATCAAAAATTTTTAACTTTGATAATATTCGAAGTGTATGAAAATATGTATTCTCACATATTGCTAGTGGGGGCATAGATTTTAGTCTTTTTGGAGGGCTCTTTAGCAGTGTATGTTAAAATAAAGTGCAATTTTAATTCCTAGCTATCTTTCCTAGAGAAATATTTGCCAGTGTGCACCAGGATGTTCATTGTAACATTGTCTCTAATGCAGAAAGGGAACCAGCCACCTAAAAAACCATCAACAGTCGAATGACTAAATGAACTGTGCTCTATAGTATCAAATATTAGGAAGTGGTTAAACAAGATTAAAGTGTTTTGGTTTGTATTAGCATTGAAACAGTGAAGTAGAGGAGAATGGGGCTAGGGGAAGGTCAAAAAATATTTTAGACTTAGTTATAATGTTGTAACTTTTAACACAGTGACTACATTAAGATATGTCAGTCTCCTAGGGCATCATTTCCTGTCCTGAATTTTGCCAATTATATAATCAGGTGCTATAAGCAGATATATTTAGATTCTCTAGAAGAGAAGGGTTTGCTTCATTTTCTTAAAACAATTTTAGGACTGTACAGCATTTTTGAGCTTCAGTGAAAATTATAAACCTCTCTCTAGGAAAGACATATACAAACTACAGAGATTTTTCTAAATTAATACATGTTTAAGAGAAGTTTTATGTTCACTATAAAATTGAACAAAATGTACGGACAGCCTCCATATACCTCTTCCCCCCAACCCCCCACACATGCGCAGCCTCCTCTACTTTCAACAACTAGCACCAGAGTGGCACATTTTTTTTTTTTTTTTTTTTACAAGCGATGAACCTACGCTGACACATCTTTATCAGCGAAAGACTATAGTTTACATTAGGGCTCAGTCTTGGTGTTGTGTATTCTATGGGTTTTGACAAGTGTATAATAACATGTGCCCACCATTGGTAATATCATATAGAATGATTTCACTGCCCTGAAAATTCTCTGTAAAATGCATAGATTTTTAAATGTAGTCTCAAGTGACCCTGGCCCCCCTGAAGCCCAATTACAGCCTCACATTCAGTCGGGACTCCAGGAGAACAAGAATCTTTTACATGACCACTTTGGTATGACATTTTTTTGTCCCGTCTCTGCCCTGCAAATTCTGGATGGCAACCAGCTTTTGCTCCTTAAGCCCCAGGCTGGTATCAACTTGTCATCTACACTGGCAGCTTCCATAGCTCTCGAGGACATGGCAGCAAATAGCTCTCTGCTTAGGAACAGTCTCAGCCCAGAGCAGTGTTCTTATTTTCTGTAATCAGCAACATCCCACAGCAGGACTGTCTTCTCCATGCACAGCTATATTATTTACCATGTTTTCCAGATAACTGTGTTAAATATATCTACAGGACTTTGAAAATGCAAAGCCATACCATTTCTCCTTTTCTTTACATTCATAACATTAATTAAAGTGTAAGAGACCCAGATTATCTCAGGTTCATTGAGACCTGGAAAAGGCCATCTAAATCTCTTTAAAATGGGAAGCAAAATCTCAAAGTTTTGTTAGGATTTTATCTTAAAAAAATGAAAATTAATAAAAATTTATTTTATATTTATACATATTTATTTTAATCACCACAACCCTGTTATATTTCTTAATCCTAACAAATAACCAATCTTATTTTTTTCCTGTGCAATATTTGCAATTTTACTTTGCAATCAAGTTGCATTATATTAGTATCATTTTATCACAAATTTACAAAGCAGATAGAGTAGGAATAGTAGATGTTCCTTTATGGCCAAAATTGGAAATGGGCAAACTGAGGGAGAAAATAATTCACTGTGAAGAGCAAAGGGGTTAGGGGATTCCAGAGCAGGGTGAGAGAAGGGAGAGAAAAGAGAAAAGGATGGATATTTGTAAGTAATAATGATTTTTGCCGCCTTATACAGCTTGGTGACTAAGGACACTCGTATAGTGATGCCTGTTAGCTACATCGTCACTGGTAGGAACGACTGTGACAATAAAAAAAACATGGGAGGAAAAGTTTTCCTACTTCTTATTTTAAAAAAAATTTGAGGTGATGTCTCACTATGTTACCCAGGCTAGAGTACAGTGGCATGATCATAGCTCACTGCAGCCTTGAACTCCTGAGCTCAAGCAATCCTTCCACCTCAGCCACCCGAGCTGCTGGGATCGCAGGCACTCATCACTGTGTCTGGCTTGTTCCTATATTTTTAAATTTCCCTTTATAATCTATGTTGCTACAGATTAAGATAAAAATGAGACTGAGAGCAAAGAGAAGGGAAATCTCTTTCTATGAAAAAAAGAACCTTTTCTGTCCTTTATGCACCCACCTAATGACAATGTGAGCCTTTGAAAATCTGTCACATCATCATATGCATTCTCATGGCACTCATAATCCAGAGACTGTGAGCCACAGCAGTTCTGAGCTCCTCTAAGATGTCCCTAATCACAGCAGCATGGAGAGTTCATTGTGGTCTCTAATTAAAATGCTGATAAATGAAATGTCCAACAAGCTATCCTAGACTGGTCTCTGGGTGAAAACAAATAGTGTTCGAAACTTTTCAGTTTCCCTACTGATGGTGCAATCACTCAAAAACGCCCTATGCAGGAGGTTTCAGGAAACTTGTTCCTGGGTTTAACAAATCACCCCTGTCAGGCTGGAATGCTTAATGGCTAGGATCCCCCCGCTCCCCCATCATTCCCCATTTCAAGTTTTCCCAGCCTCCACCAATATCGGAGTAGCCAGGAAGAGGCTTTGGAGTCAGAAAGACTCACCCTCAAATTTAGGTCCTGCGACTTCCTAACCATCTGCCTGTGCACTGGTTACTTGTCCTTTTTGAGTCTGTTTTCTCATCTGTAAAATGAGTATAAGAAAAATTCCTGGCTGGGTGCAGTGGCTCAAGCCTGTAATCCTAGCACTCTGGGAAGCCGAGGCGGGCGGATCACCTGAGGTCAGGAGTCCGAGAGCAACCCGGCTAACATAGTGAAACCCCGTCTCTACTAAAAATACAAAAATTAGCAGCATGGAGGCGCGCACCTGTAGTGCCAGCTACTCAGGAGGCTGAGGCAGGAGAATCGCTTGAACCCAAGAGGCAGAGGTTGCAGTGAGCCGAAATCACACCACTGCACTCCAGCCTGGGAGACAGAGCGAGACTTTGTCTCAAAAAATAAATAAATTAAAAAAATAAAGAAAGAAAGAAAAACTCCCATACAGAGTTGTTGTAAGAAGGAAACAGGCAGGTGAAGTAAAGGCTAGGACATGTTAGTAGGCACTGAAGAAAAGTTAGCTCCATCACACACTCATGCATACACACATTTCTTTTCTTTTCCTTACAGAGTACAAGGGCCTCACAACCATTGGATATTCCATTGCAACTGGCCCGATCTTGGAGAGGTGGAAACGAGAGGAAGGACAAGGATTCCATGGCTTTGCCTCTCCAGCTGCGGGGAGAGGGCAGAGGTACATGGTGGGAAATTGCTGCAAATCTTGAGGAAGGGTCAAGACAGCTTTGTCCCTGGCCAGTACTTCATCAGTTAACCAGGAATTGCATCAGTGTTTGTTGCAACATCCTCAGAAAACAGAAAAGTCCATGGTACAAATGGCACAGATCCATAATTTGGAGGACTGGGGGTAGGAAGGTAACACAAAGATAAAAGCATCTATCATTTTATAAAATCACAACTAGAAACAAAATGGTAGCTCCATGTACATCTTTCCCTCTCTTCTCCCTTCCTTTTTTTAGGAACAGAAAAAAAAATTATATACATATAAACCACTTTATTGAGGTGTGACTGACATATAAAAGCTTTACATATTCCATGTATACACTTTGATGAGTCTGGGGATAGGTATACACTCATTAAATCATCATCACAATCTATACCATAAACCTATCCATCACCTCCAAAAGTTTCTTCCTGCCTTCTTATTTATCACTAATATTATTTTAAGGGTCCCTACCCCTCTTGTCAATACTCCTGAAGTGGTTCTAAAACAGCACTAGAAACAGCATCAGATTTCTTTAAAGCTCAAAGCTCAGGTGTTTCTTAGAGGAAGAATTCAAGGTGAGTCACTTGTCATTCCCTCCTGCCCCTCCCTTCTAAATAAAAACCCAATGAAAAGAAGTAAGTGAGGCTCCACAGTTGCCCCATTCACTTTTTCAGTAAGGAGACAACGAGATATCTTATCTATAGATTTAGTCCTTGGACAATTTCATCACTAAAGTTCTTCCTTATACTCACATTTCTGTCTTTTAAAAATATTTCCATTTGATATTAATATTTGAAGTGCAAAGCAATAGAAGAATTTGCAACTGAAGTCAAGAAAGAAGAATTTTTCCACCTACTCTTCTTTTAGGGAAAAATTTCATTTCAATTAAGCATAGGTTAAATGTCCTATTCTTAGTTCCCAAGTCATCTGACATTAGCAATATTCCCAAACTCACTTCAAGATTTGATAAATCACCAAAATATAGCACACTATACAGGTCAAATTGTTTATGGAATCAGAACAGAAACATTTCTGAAATTTACTGTCTCCAGTGATTTACTCAGGTGACCACAATGTTAAAAGAATATTTCTAAATCAGTTTTCAATAGGTAAGCAACTGCTAAGACTCATTAACTTCTACTTCTGTTTCTTTTCATTTTTGAGTTTCTTTTTTTAATTTTCAGGACTTTATATCAAACTCTACTAACTTAGAATTCATTTATTGACATAAATTACTGATGTCAAAGAGAAACTTTTAAGTGACTATTTTTTCTCTGTTGCCATGAGATAGACACCCCACTCCCAAAGGAATTAGGTACTTACTTGGATTGTTTTGGGTCAGAGATGGACTTTCAAGGCCCTGGGAGGATTCTGAATCGAGTCTTCCTCTCCAGATTCCAGCAATTTTGCTACAAATGCTCAGAATCCAATTTCGCATTAGGATAAGTCAGGGAGACAATGAGGTGAAGAGGAGGAGAGAGTTCTAGTGTGCTGTGCATGATCACAGGCGGCCTTCCGGGCTAGCAGCAGCATCTCTTCCTTGGCTCTGTGCCTCATGGACACAGATTAGTCATTAACAATCCTTCCCTGCTAAATGATGTAAACATAGAAAGGAACCTTGGGAGAGCCTCGAGATTCCCAAGACAAACCCGCAGAGTCCCAGAATGAGGAATGTGACCAAACCAAGGAGCCCTGCAGCTTGCCTTTGAAAGCACTTCTCCTCTGGCCATTTTGGGGGCTCCTGGGCACCCATATTTCTGTGCACATTAACTAAAACCAAACTGTCATCTTCCCTCTCTCTCACTCCAACTTCTTTGAATAGCTCTATCGCTTCCCAGGGACTGAAAGCTGGGAGGTTTTTTGACCCTTCGCTCTGCCCAGGCACTCATATCAAACAATAATAGATTTGGGTTGATTGTATCTTTGGAATGTCTCTTGTTTCCAACCCACGTTGTTCTTCTCCTAATTTGGGCCTATCATAGCTTCCTTTCTGGATGACATTGGTCCCATAACCCCTTTTTCTTCTCTACCCTTCTTCTTCTTTCCAAATTGCACAGCAGTGTGGAAGCATGGACTCTGGTTAGATGCCAACTCTTTAGTCATAGCCTTGAGCAAGACCCTTAGCCTCTCTGAGTCTCAGTTTCCTCATCTGTAGAATGGATATGGAGAAACCATCTCATGGGCTATGATGAGAATTACATGAGCAGTTAAAATGTTTATAAAAAAGTGTGGCAGATAGCAATCACCCAACAATTTGTGGCCATTATTATTTCTTTCCTTCATTAGTTGAACCATCATTGATTGATTGTCAGCCTACTATGTACCCAGCAACTTGCTAGGCGCTCCCCTCATCAAAAATCCCCAATGCACTCTCTATGCCTAAAAAACAAACACAAAAATGTGTGACATTTAGAACCCCTTCCACCCCTGAAGATCTAGCCCTCATGTCTCTAGGATTTTCTCACATTCTGTCTCCAGACATCCCAACCTCTGCCAACCTGTGCCAAGCTCTCCCGCCTCCGCTCCTTTGCACAAACTCTTCCTTCTACCTCTGTTACCTTCTTTGCACACCCACACATCTTCCAGGCATGACAGAAGCAGAGTGCTCCCTGAAGCCAGCCCCATTCCTCATCTGCCCCTACTCTCCCTACCAAATTCCCTGATCTTTCATTTATAGTTTCCTTGCTGTCCCTTAACTCCTCTGACCTTATATATTATAGTTTTCTACTTGTTTTATCTCTTTTATGAAAACCAGGCATGGTAGTAGACTTGTCTTTGTATCTACTGCCTGGCTTAGCACAGTGCCTGTCACGGAAAAAGCATTGTGTAACTCTCTGTTAATCAATGAGTGAGCTGAGAACCAACTTTGCAAAGTAGCATGGCTGCACATGCACGTATGTGTGTGTGTGTGTGTGTGTGTGTGTGTATGTATGTGATGTGTGCATTTCCCATCTGTGATGTGTGTCATTTGTTTCCCGTCACAAGGTCAGCTGGTAGAAGATCTACATTCAAACCTGTTAGAAATGTTATATTCTGCTTCTCTTATAAAATAGCCTTTTTGTAGGTCCTACAGGCTCCCACTTCCTACCTACTTCTGGGGGTTCCCAATGTACTATGGTGCATCCTCCAGCCCCTTTGGCACAAGGAAGAGGGGCACCCCAGGCCTGTACATTTTCATTTGAAGAGAGTTTGCACTGACACTCACTGCACTCTGCAGCTATGGGCTGCCTGAGGGACTCCTATGTGACTTCTGTGTGACACCAAGCCCATTTCTTCTTGGATGGTAAGAGTTTGTACTGTGATTTCATTCTCTCCAGCAGAGAAGGAGACAATGACTGAAGACACAGACTCTGGCACTGGACTGGCTGGGTTCAAATCCCAGCTCTGCCACTTACAAGCTGTGTGACCTTAGACCTTTGGCTTTTACTTAACATCTGTCTCAGTTTCCCCATCTGTAAAATAAAGGTATAATTACTATGTATTTCATATGAGGTTATTGTAAGGATTTAATGAATTAATCTATGCAAAGTACTGGTACCTGACACACAGAAAGTGCTGTGTAGGGGTTAACTGTTGTTATTTTCTCTGGGCCTTCACACTGACAATCGTATTTGCCCACTGGACTGGGTACTCCCTGAGGGTGGCATGTATTTCTCATCCTTTTGGATCTCCAAAGGTGTAGCACATAGTGCTGGGCATGACATAAGTGCCCATTCAAAAATTTCAACAATTATTTTTCTTCTCTTTACACCACACAATCAATCCATTAGCAAATGTTTAAGTTTTACCTTCACTGTATATGTATTGAATCTGATACCTTCCCACCACCTCCACTGTCATCTCTCTGGTCCATGCCAGGTTTCTTGCACCTGGGTTTGTGCCATGGCCTCCTAAGTGGCCTCCTTATTTCTATGCTTGCACTCTGTCATTTATTCCCAGCATTGCAACCAGAGTGATCCTACCAAAACCAAAGGATCATGTTGTTCTGTTGCTCAAAACCCCCACTGGCTTTCATCTTTCTCAGAGTAGTGGCCAAACTTCTTACAGTGACCCCAAGGATCTAAATGACCCTGAATCCTACCCCATCCCACCATAGCTCTAACTTCCTCTATCACTCACCCTGTCATGAGTGACATGTGGCCTGTCATGAGTGACATGTGACATGTCATGAGGCCTCCTTGTTGTTCTCTGAACTCATAAAGCACATTCTTTCCCCAGGGCCCCTGTACTTTCTGTTCCATCGCCTGGATTGATTTTTGCCCAGAGACCTTCCATTGCATGCTACAGGTTTCTACTCATCTTACCAGAGAGGCCTTTCCTGGACACACCAAATACAATGCCATTTCTCTCCTCAGTCCAGGATATCTCTTCTCTTTTTTTTTTTTTTTTTTTTTTTTTTTTTTTTTTAGGAGACAGAGTCTGGCTCTGGCTCTATCGTCTAGGCTGGAGAGCAGTGGCATGATCTTGGCTCACTGCAACCTCAGCATTTCGGGTTCAAGCAATTCTCCTGCCTCAGTCCTCCGAGTTGCTGAGACTACAGGCACGTTCCACGACACCCAACTAATTTTTTGTATTTAGTAGAGATGGGGTTTCGCCATGTTGCCCGAGCTTGTCTCAAACGCCTAAGCTCAAGCGATCTTCCCATCTCAGCCTCCCAAAGCGCTGGTATTACAGGTGTGAGCCACCACACCTGGCCTCTCTTCTCATTCTTACCTTGCTTTATTTTACCCTGTAGCACTAAGCACTGAGCACCACTTGGCATACATGGACATATTTCATGTCTCTCTCACTATATGGGACATAAATAGACGAGTACACCTATCTTGTTCACCACTGTGTCCCTGATAACTGGATGCCCCAGGCAATGTGCTAGTGCTGAGTAGGAGAGGCCCAAAACCCAAGCTCTGAAAGCTCACCATCCCATGAAGGAGGGAGACTCAGCAAAATAATAACAGCAATAATAATAATAAAGTAAATCCCATAAAGAATGAATAACATTCACTTGTGTTACGTGATAAGATGGAAAAGTTCAGGGTGTCATACAATACTCTCCATTAATCATAACAAACAGAAAATGTGCTCTGTATTCATGGGATAAATTCTAACTAGCACAGAAAGAAAGAAGGGGAAAAGGAACAAGCATTTACTGAGCAGTTAATATTTTCCAAACAGTCAGTTAAGCACTGGTGAATCAGCAGTGAACAAAATGATGTGGTCCCTGCAGTGATGCAATTTACAGCCTGGTGTGGGAGACAGACAATTAATAAAAACTACACAGATAATCTTGTAAGTTATCTTGTGACAGCATGTTATGAAGGAGAAGTACAGGGTTCTGTGATTGTATTTAGCAGGGAGCCCCCACCATGTCAAAGGGGTTTAAAAAGCCTTCCCCTAAGAAAGTGATGTTTTAGCTAAGATGGAAGGATCTCTGATATGTGGGGAGTGAAAGGCGTTGAGGAGGAGATAAAGGAGCATTTCAGGGTAAGGAAAAGACAGCAGCAAAGGCTCTAAGACAGGAGGGAGATTGGAAAATCCCATGAAATAAAGAGGATAATGCCTTTCAAGGAAGAATGTGGGGGAGGAACAAAGAAATAGGGGTAGAACAGGAGGTGGGAGCAGTGGAGTGCTGGTAAGTGATTAACAACCAGCTCTCAGAGAGGTGCGTGAATATATACATATAAACATTTATTTTAAATTTTACTGATAGAACAGGTAAGTAACACATGTTTTACAAATAATAATAAAGATACAATTTCTGTATATTGTAAATTCCATGTAGCCAGTGAGTCAACTGGAATGTTTTCATTGAGTTTTGCCAAACTCTTGTATTGATAGCCAACTTACGGTTGCCTTTCAACCATGGTTTGACAAATGGAATCGCATTCCAGACCACTAATCCTTTCCCCAATATAAACATCATTCTGAAATGTTATATGTGATCTACTGATAAACTATGATTTTCATACAAATTATCTTTGTTAAACTGAACCCTCTTTGAGTTCCAACTTTATGTATGTTGGAAATTCACTTGTTCGTGAGTGATGTGAGTAGCTTCTTTGCTGAATCAAATAATAGTTTTCATATACTGGGAGAACATTTCTTCAGTTATTATGTGTGTTCTTCACAATGTAACAGCTACTAACATCATGCACTTTTAAGTTTAATCTCTTTGTTAACAGTTTCTTTATCACTAAGACTAAGGGTCAACAAACATTTTCTTTAAAGGGCCAAAAAGTAAATATCTTAGGCTTTGCAGACCATACCTAGTCTCTGTTATGTTTTACATTTCTCTAAAAATGTAGAACTTCTTAGCTTGAGGGCTGTATATAAACATCCATGGGCCAAATTTTGCCCACTGACCTTAATTTGCCAACTTCTTAGACCAGTAGCTCTCAATGGAGAGAAACAGCAATTCTGCTCCCCAAAGCATATTTGGCAATATCTGGACACAGTTGTGGTTGTCACGACTCGGAGGGAGTGTCATTTAGTAAGGAGAGACCAGAATGCTGCTAAACATCCTACAATGCACAGCTTCTCCCTCCACAACCAAGAATTATGCAGCCCAAAATACCAATAATACCAAAGTTGAACAAGCCTGCCTTAGAAAATCGACAATACAATAAATCAGGTCTTGATTTGTAAATTTTTTTCATGTCATAAATATTCTAAT